ATGTTGTTGAGTACTTCTATTTTCTTGATGAACGAAATGATTTCTTCAGATGCTTCATATTTGGATCTGAGAAAGAAGACCCAAATATACCTGGCATACTCATCAACAATGACAAGTGTAAACTTCTTTCCAACTAAGGATTGCACGTTGACTGGACCAAAGAGATCCATATGCAATAGCTAAAGAGGTGCAGTCACTGAAGAGATTTTCTTAGACTTAAAGCTAGCTCTTGTGTGTTTTTCTTTTTCACATGCTGAGGAAAGAGATTCCTTTGCAAAAGAATGTTGAGGAAGACCAGTGACAAGATCATTTCTTGACAGCTTGCTAAGTGTCTTGAAGTTGAGATGAGAAAGCTGTTTGTGCCATAGCCAGTTAACGTCTGACGAGGCTTTAAAGAAGAAGCAGTTGTTCTCAATGAGAAAGGAATTCATATTGATGATATATACATTCTCTAGGCGAGAACCAGTTAAGGCAACCTTATCATCTTTGTCAAGAACGTGACATGAATTCTTCGAGAATTTAACTGTGTAGTCTTTATCACACAACTGATTGATGCTAAGAAGATTGTGCTTCAGTCCTTCAGCATATGCAACACGTTTGAACATTGTTACACCATTGGTCAATATACCAAATCCTTTAGTATATCATTTTCCGTTTCCACCAAAGGTTACGGAAGGTCCTATTTCTTCCTTGAAATGAGTTAACAGGGATGTGTCTCCAGTCATATGTCTTGAACATCTACTATCAAGATACCATATACCTTTGATGTCCTGTACAAGGAAACAATTTAAGAATGCTATTGGTACCTAGCTATTGGGGTCCAGAGTTGTTAGAGGCATCATCCACTGGTGCTGAGGAATCAGTATCAGCAAATGGCATCACTAAACCTGAAGAGGTTTGAGTGGAAAGAGAAACATCCTCTGACACTACTAAAGTAGTTTAAGTGGAAGTCTTCACTGAACCTGAAGAGGAGGCTTCAGTGGAGGGAATTACAATGTCTGATGCTGAAGACTTGTAAGCAGGAGTTGTCTTCGCTACGCCTGAAGAAGAGGCTCCAGCGGTTTGCTTCACTTTGGTTGCTTTTGCAGCCTTAGTGGATGATTTTGCCTTGGTTGACTTCTCAGCCTTGGCTACTTTCTTGCCCTTAGCTGGTGAACCAGCCTTGGCGACAAAAGGACATTGCTCTGATACCACTTGTTGGTCCCTTGAGGGTCTACAAGATAAGTAAAACAATTTGTAGAATGGGGGGATGGATACAAACATAATATTTTCAAATTTAAAATGTATATTGATAGAGAAGATCAATACAAATTTTACAAGACTGTTTGCGGAAAGATAAGGTAAGAAAACCTATGTAAACAATCTTTGGTTACACACAGATTCTTAGCAAATGAGAAAGAAATGTTGTAAAGAAAAGTTCTTTTACTTAAGCTTGAGAATGCTCAAAGTAATAATTAGGTTATGAGAGTGAGTTGCGTGCACTCTGCATGGAGAAGAAACACTTCTATGTATACCCATTGCATTAAATACTCAGTTAATGCAATACGGTAGGGTTAGAGTGTGTGTCAAGCCTTAAGAGGAAGGCTTGTCCTTTGCTACAGTGAATAGTACAAAAATGACTATTCATGAGCAGACATCCTTACCTAAAGTTGATGGACAATAGAGTCAACTAGTCGGCTCCGTACCGTACCAACATTTAGAAAGGGTATGAGTTTGTCCTTTGTGTGCATAAGGAAAAGACAACAAAAATCGTGCTTGGCATGCTTCCTTTGATCACTAAATGTTGGAATAACCTGGAGGTCTCTTCAGTATGTGAGGCTTGAGCAGTCTTCACACATATGTAGACAGGCTTGTAATCACTGAGTACCGCTTCAGATCACGTACTCGTCAGTCTCTAACCTTCAGTTTCAGTCTTCGACTTTGGCTGAAGGTTCTTTGGTGTGAGTGTTGTCTTCTTGAAGTATCGCTGCCTCTGATTGAATTACAATACAAGTTCTTCAACGATCATTGAATAGGCTCAGTTATGATCGGTGGAACTGAAAAGACAGAAACATTAATACAACGTATAAGTGAAAAGGGATTTATCATCAAATCACTGAGAGAGAGGATCAACACCTCTCTTACCGAATCTGACAACCCCTTTCCCCGGAGAGACTTTCAGCATCACATAATCTCCCACAACGAATTCAATTGGCTTGTGGCGTCTGTCGACATAGCTTTTCTGACGGTCTTGAGCTGTTTTAATCTTTTCTCTAATCTGCTCAATTTTCTCAGAAGTGACTTGAACAATTTATGGCCCTGTTAATCGTCTTTCACTCACTTCATTCCAACATAATGACGTTCTGCATTTACGACCATACAAAACTTCATACGGTGCCGCTTGGATGCTGGAGTGATAGCTATTGTTATAGGCAAATACAATTAACGACAAATGATCTTCCCACGATCCTCCGAAGTCTATAACACAAGCCTTTAACATATCTTCAATAGTCTGAATTGTTCTTTCACTTTGCCCGTCAGTTTGTGGATGATACGTCGTACTTAGCCGAATCTAAGACCCCAAAGCTTTCTGAAAACTCTTCCAAAATTTTGATGTAAACCGATTATCTTTGTCTAAGATAATAGATAGCCAACTCCGTGTCTGGTTACAATCTCTTTGATGTAGACTTTTGCCAATCTTTCTAATGGATTATTATCTTTTATCGGAAAAAAATGTGCGGATTTCGATAGGCGATCTACAATCACCCATATGGCATCATATTCTTTGGGAGTACGAGGTAAATTCATGATGAAGTCCATCGTGATATGATCCCATTTCCACACAGGAATCTCTAAAGATTGCAGACTCCCATAAGGTTTATGATGGTCAATCTTTACCTGCAAGCACGTCATATATCTTTCCACATACTTTGCTATGTCATTCTTTAGCCAGGTCACCAATAATATGGTTGTAAATCTTTATACATTTTATTGTTGCCAAGATGAATAAAATACCGGGATTTATGACTTTCATTCAAAATAATTTCCCGGATATTCCCATAGCATGTTACCCAAATCCGATCTTGAAAATACAAAAGCTCTTTATCATTCTTTTCCACTGTGGAAATTAATTTACCCAATCTTTCATTCTTGAAATTTTCTTCTTTTACAGCTTCCCTCTGACACTTTGCAATTTCATTATGGAGATCTGACAAAAGATTCAATCTCATAGCTATAACCCTGATCGTACCACTTTTTTCTTTTCTGCTTAAGGCATCTGCTACCACATTGGCTTTCCCCGGATGATAAAGAATTCCGCAGTCATAATCATTTACCAGTTCAATCCATCGTCGTTGCCTCATGTTTAATTCTTTTTGGCTGAACAGATGTTGGAGACTTTTATGATCTGTAAAGATCTTACATTTGGTTCCCAGCAAGTAATGTCTCCAAATCTTCAGAAAAGACTACGGCGGCAAGTTCCATGTCATGTGTCGGATATTGTTTTTTCATGATCCTTCAATTGTCTGGACGCGTAAGCAATTACTTTTACTCTCTACATCAATATGCAATCCAAACCCAACTTTGAAGCATCAATGTAAACTATGAAGTGTTTTGATCCTTCTGGCAAGGACAAAACTAGAGCACTGCAAAGACGATCTTTTAACAATTGATAGTTTTTTGTTGATCTTCTTCCCACTGAAACTTAACATTTTTTCGAGTCAGCTTCGTTAATGGTATTGCAATTTTGAGAAATCCTGAATAAATTTTCGGTAGTAACCTGCTAACCCCAGAAAACTACGGACTTCAGAAGTTCTCGGTGCATCCCATTTCTCTACTACTTCAATCTTAGCAGGATCAACTTTCACTCCTGCTTCAGATATGACATGACCCAGAAATTGAACTTCTCTTAACCAGAACTCACATTTGGACAATTTGGCATACAACTTTTCTTTTTTTTAAAGTTCAAGGATCAGACGAAAATGTTCAACATGCTCTTCTTCAGATTTCGAGTATATAAGAATATCATCAATAAATACAATAATGAACTTATCAAGATATTCACTACATACTCGGTTCATCAAATTCATAAACACTGCAAGAGCATTGGTTAAATAATAGAACTTTGATGTATATTTTAATAAAATATTATAAAATATTTGATTTAATATTTTCTTTGAAAAAATATTAATCAACTAAGATTTATAAGGTTGTCTAACTTTGTTTTTTTTATTAAAATTATATAATGAATTTAGATATTTTTTAAAATTTGTATTTGATCATACAAATCCAATTTTTTAAAAATTTATATATAACATAATAATAAGTTCAATTAAATTCAATAAATTAATTTTTTTTAACATCTAGTTTATATTAATTAACTTATTATATTATTAATGAATTTTTTTAAATATATTATGAAATATTAGATTTTATTAATTTTTTAAAACACATCATTTTTTAAAACCTTATTTCATATAATCCTATGAAATCATATGAAATCCGGAACATTCTTTAAGGATTTCAAAATCTCATGCTTGTAGGATTTAAAAAAATCCAACAAACCAAACATAGAATTATTTTTTCCTTCATGTCGCCACACAGAGGACATGAAGACGTAAAAAAGGGATCCTACAAACCAAATGTGGACAAGTGTCAAATCGAACATAAAAAGCATCTTAGAATCAATTCAAACACATGCAAAACAGCAGTTTATACTTTAACCCAAACACCAGCAGCAACTGGGTTTGACTCTTGTGAATCAAGTCATCAACCACCTACATGCCATTCAATTGAAAATATCATGATCATGATTATCCAATCCTGATATTTGATTTGCATCTTCGAATTTGATTTAATGATACGTCTTTTCGTGATGCAATTATCAGTAATATCCACCCAAGACAAAATTGGTTACATTTTTCATGTAATTCTCCAGTAATAACAAAGTCCACAGCCAATTATATAAGAAACCCAAAGAAGGGGACATCAAGAACCACCACTGCAAAAGTGAAAACAAAAGGTTGAAACTCAAAACCAACTTGGTAAAATAGCATTTAGAAACAAAAATGCATCTGGCAAAACCCATGTTCACCCATCAATGTTTTTGCATAAAGAAGTTGCAGTTTAAAAAGGAAAAAGAAAAAAACAAAAACATAACACTAAAATTGCTTGGGTTCAGTCATATGCAGTCTCCCAGTCCACTACGTCCGAGTCCTCATCCTGTTTATTTGAACCACTAGAGGATGGCTCATTCATCACATTACTTCCTCCTATGGCTTTTCCAGATTCTTCGCTACGACTAGCTTCTGATTCCAGAATGCTCCACCGATTTGCTGATGCGGTGATTGGAGCAGCTTCTTTTACCTTCCATGATGATGATGTTGATGATGATGTTGTCGTTGTTTCTGGGTTCTCTTCTGCAACATTCCATGAACTCTCTCCCCAATCAGAGCTGGACTCCTGAACAACAGCTTTCTTCCATGGATTTGTTTGCATATGATTATCCTTGGGTGTTGTTGAGCCCCAAGCATTGCCTCCTGTCGATGTAGCTAGCACAGTTGCCCCATAATAGACAGACCCATGGTCTAACCGTCTCATAGCAGTTGCAGCTCGAGCAGGATCACTGAACACAGCCAATGCGTTCTTGTCATTCAACCACACCAATTCACATTCCCCACCGAACCTCAATACCAAAGCACTTACATCTGCATCCCCTGGTAGATCAAACAACGCAACAACCAACCTAGGATCCATGTCCACCACAGGATCAAAATTGGGTGGATGTATCAAGTTTGTAGGGTTCATCCCTTTTGAACCAAGAATCCGTGCAGGGGCCTTGGACTTTGGTGTAACATGAACGACGACAAAGCGTTTTGGCTCCCAACCAGCAGCATTTATCGAGAGTTTCCACCTCTCAGCAATTAGCCTCACTGCATCTCTCTTCTCTTTCAACATCGGACAGAACACATGAACCTTGAGCGCAGCGGCTCCCCCTCTGCCTCTGCCAACCACCAACATCTTGCATCTCTCTTCAACAGACAAAACCCACTTAGGATCACGTCTGAATAGGTCTCCTAGCATATCAGAAACCATAACATTCTCACCAAAATGTAATGCCTCCAAATTTGGACTAGTGACACCAAAAGCATCCGCAAGAACCTTTTTACGCTCCATCTTTGAACATTCATCGTCACACATGAGCTTCCTCTGTCCAAGTGGAATCTTCTTGCCATTTGCTTCGATGGGTTGAAGCGGCACTGGCAATTTCTGAACTGCAGATGCTTCAAGAAGGGTGTCAGCATTGTAACCACTATTGCTGCTGCTTCCAGCATCACAAGGAACAGTTGCAGTTATTCGACCACAAGAACATGCTATTGTGACGGGGAACTCGCACCTTGCATCTGGACATGCATTATTTGGGTGACAAAGGGCAGTACATGTGTGCCTGCAGTCTCTCCTGGGAGCGCCACAGGTCTGACCACATGAAGCCTTCACACCAGAAGTAGATCCACCCGAGGAATCACATGGAGAAGGGTGGCAAGTCCTTAAACATGCATGCATCCCACACTGCCTTGTCTTGCCACAAAGTTTGTTACATCTAATATCTTTTGAACCACATGGTATGTTTCTGAGGACCACATGTCCTCCGATGCATTCCTTAGGTATAGGAACTGAACAAGGTGGACAGTCCCCAAAGTGGCAGCTGTGAGAAGACACGTGACCACATGGTTGAGGAACGGAGCAAGGGTATTGACAAGAAGGTGGCGGTGTACCACAAGGTAGTGGAGGAGGAATTGAAGATCTTCCACAAGCACAGGTCAAATCAGTGAAAATTGTCTCAGGGCAAGGAGGGCAATGGCCACTGTGACACAGTGATTCACAATCATGTTGCCCACATCTTAGCTTCTTCTCACAAGGCTTGGAACACAAATGTGGATCCCATCCCTGGATGAGGGGCCTGGAGGCATTGCTGGAATTTGAAAGTGGGCAGCACCTCTCACTGCAACGGTGTCTACCACAGTTCTTCTTGCGCCCACAAGGTTTATCACATGTAAATACTTCTACTCCCCTGGTGGTATTGAAGCATTCTACGATTCGAGAAGTTGATCCACAACGACATTTTTGAGAAACCATCACTCGACAAGGTGCACATTCCCCTGGATGGCATGTCTCTTTACAACGATGTAACCCACAAGAGAGGGTTTTGTCACATATCTGTGAGCAGGTTGGGATTGGATCCAGACAGCTCTGCCGCTCCTCCTGTAAGCTTGATTTACCACAATAGCATGACGTAATTCTCCCTGGCAACAGGTCACAGTCCCCACAAAGACCAGGATGACAAATTTCTTTACAGACATGGTTTCCACATGCAAGAGGTTTTCCACAAGGTGAACTGCATGAAAAGATACCATCTTCTACATTAACTTCTCCCTTCACTGCCATGTCACCACAAAGGACTGCCTCCGTCTTTTTCTTGCAAAAACATGAGGCATCAATGAGAACCTCGCAAGCATCACAAGGACCCACATGGCATGTCTTCTCACAACGATGGCGTAGACACTTACGAGGTTTCCCACAGCGCTGGCCACAAGTAAGAACAGATTTCTGATCAGAACATCTTGTGGTGATTATTTTCTTCCCACATGGACATATTCTTGGTGGAGCAAAAGCCTTGCAAGGTGGGCATGGCCCAGGGTGGCATTGCAGAACACAACGATGAGGACAAAGATCGTCCCTACTTACACCAGAACCAGGAACCTCCTTCTCAAGGGGCTTTCCGCAGGGTTCTCCACATGAATGAGGAGTGAGATATGGGTCTGAATGTGGTTCCTGCCTCTTTCCACAGAAACAAACATAACGAATATCCTTGGAGGAAGTGAGCTGTACTGATTGGCACCCTGGGCAACGCCAATTAAATCCTTGATTTTTCTCAGCAGACAAGTCGATAGAAGTAGGCGCCCTCGCCCATTTCTTGATACAATGCAAATGAAAAATTGAGAAGCAGCTGGAGCAGGACCAAATAGGGGCAGACCGCCTCACCATATCATAACATATCATGCACTCAATTGTCCCCTTTAAAAGTTTGTCTTGGATTTCTTGAACAAGCTGTGGTAAAGCTCCTGTCGTGCCTTTTGAAACTCTCTCCTCACATAGAGGATCTCTTCTTCTGTCTCTACTCTGATTTACAGGGCGAGCTATATGCTGCCTCCTCTGCACCCCAAAATTTCCTCTATTAAGACCATTTTGAGGCTGTGGACCTGATCTAATATTAGGTTCCTCGCTATTTCCATCTGGGTTTGAGGCAACTGTCGAAGGGGAACTAGCATCCACAACAGTGGTGGAGACTGTCGCAGTTGATCCTCTGGGAATCCATTCTTGACGACGTGGAAACCTAGACCTATTATCCCTTCTATCATTTCGAACGTGAGAGCTCATATCCACCTACAATATCACGATTCAATAGCTGTTATGAACGAAACATGATGGCAATTTAGATTAGACAAAAATGAAACCTAAAGCGATTAAAAATTTAGAAAATATAATAATGAAGGAATCAACTGCGCAATGAAAGGCGGTTCAAACGAATCGATTAAATAAAAAAATCGTAAATATAATTTAAACAAATAAAATCCAAACCGAAAAACCTAATTACACAAATAAACGAATATGAGTTGCAAGGAAAAGATAAAACAGTTTACCTGATTGCAAGTTGGGGGCGACTTTGAAAGAGGAATTGCCGAAAGATTTGACTCGGCTGTATTAGAAAACGAAAATGAAGGATCAGAAATCCTAAACCTAATCAAACAAAACAAATTCAAAAACAATCGGAAGAAAATAATAAAAACAGTTTACCTGATTCGAAACTAGAAGGCAGGTATGAAGCGGCTGGATAAAGAAACAATGGAATCGGCTTAACCTACCGATGAGGAAGAAGAACACTTTACCTGATTGAAAATTGGAAGGCAGATATGAAAGGGCTTGCACAGAGAATTGGGGCGGTGAGCTTAATTATAGGAGAGACCGACAATGAGATCGACGAGCGCTTGGGGAGCAAGCGAAGGCTTCGATCGAATCGTGTCTTGATTGGCCACTTGTGTATGCGTGGTCGCCAAACTAAACCATTTTCTTCCAACATCGTGTAAAATTAGAGTTAAAAGAGAAGCCATCACGTTTAATTTCAAATCTATTTATGAATATGAACATTGATTCGACATATCCTGATGTATCTCATCGTAATATGTATTTTTCAAGAGTATAGATTTATTCTTATACTTTTTATTGGATTTGTAAAAAGATGTAACAATTTATATTTTTTTAATTTTGAAAATATTTTTTAAATATTAATGAGATAAATTGTGATATATAAATCTTCTTTGTATTGTAATCTAAGATATTTACTAAATAATATATAAAGTTAACTTTTTCTAAAAATACAATTATGTAAAGGAAATGTCACGTCAGTAATATGTTACACGCGAACAATGACATGGTATGGAAACTTGTTATGTAATTTTAATTCAAATCAAAAGGTTACCCATAATGGTAAACTTTTCATAGTACAATGTTTTAATAGAAAATAATTTAATAGTATATTACTATAATAAAAAAAAATGAAAGTATGATACCATAATAAGAAAATGTATTAAAGTGAGTTGTTATTTCATACATTTAGCATAATTAAATAATATCGCATTTTATTTTCTTCTGAAATTTTGAGAGGAATGCTACCTCAAACTAGGGTGTTATAAATTGATATAGCTAGCTTAACAGAATTAGGTTGGTTACCTAGTCTTAAACCTACGGTTAAGTGCTTAAACCCAAGGTCTGACTGGGATTGATAAAAATGGGATGACTATAGAATAAGAGTTATCTTAAGATTGTGTGGGTAGTCGAGGAAAAATAGGTGCTTAGAGATGGGTGATAAATTTCATAAAAGGTTTGAGTTAACGTGTTATTTGATTTTGATGCAAATCAGTTTATGTATTTCATATTCGCTAAAAGATTTGACATACCGATTAGCAAATAGTCGAAGTCTATGTTGTAGAGCTACCAGATGCAGCATATGTAATTATATGCAAGTTGACGAAAATCAATATTATACCTCAAGTAGCAAAGGAATATAATAGAAATGATTGTATTGTTAATAATTGTTGTAAAAGACGAAATAATACAATAAACAAAAATATGAATTTCAAAACTACTACGAATCGGTTTGTTTGCATGTCGATAATTAGATACGTAAGAAAATGTTGAGACCTGTGGCAAGCACATGCTCCATAAAAGTTAAAGACAAATTTGTCCTTTCCTCCGTGCTAGAGACACTCAGATGTAGGGGTGTGCATCGGGCGGGTTCGGGTGGACAAATCAAAAACCCGATCGGATTTCAGATATGGACATCAAGCCCCGGTTTTTGGTTTTTGGGTTTTGGATTTTGGATTGCTTCAGTTTGGGTTTCAGGTTGAGGTCAGTCGGGTTTGGATTTCGTTATGTATATTCAATTGATTTAGAGAATTGATAAATCGATAACATGTTTAGAAATTAGAATAGAGCACGACCAACTAAGATTTTTGAAATTTTCAAAAGATAATAAATAAATATATTTATATAGTATTTAAAATATATATGTATATAAATTTCGGGTTTTTCGGACAGGTTCGGTGGCCAAAAATCAAACCCAACCCAAACCTAAATTTTCCACTAAAATTCGGTTTTCGGGTTTTCAAATTTCGGGGCATTAGGGTTTTGCATAAACACCTTATTTTTGGTTCAGGTTCGAATGTTAACCAATCGGGTCCTACACATCCCTACTCAAATGTTTATCTCCCAGAATACAACAATAGTTAACTCTCGCAGCACAACCATATTAACTAGTTGAACCATGTTGGTCCCAGCCAGATCTACAAGAGTTAAAGGTAATCAGTTTGTAGAAGGGAGAGAATGATGAATACAAACACGGAAACTTTCACTTTTTAAAATTATACTAGTTGTGTGCCCGTGCAATGCGACGGGATTTAAAATTTTAAAAAGATGTAAGTGGGCATATCAACTACGGATAAAGATTTGTATTTGAAATTGTCAGACTCTACATCATTGATTGTTTCATATTCAATTGATTTGGGAGGAACTGAAACAATCCAACAATCTATTTGATGTTGAAATTTGACAATCGATTTATAAGAAATTTGACAACCGATCATATAAAATTACTTATTTTAAAAGTAATTTTAATTCTTTAAATAATCAAGAATCCATATAATAAATCGATATCACTTAACTTACTTGAACCATTGAATATATAAGTATTCTTAAACACACTCGATCAAATTGAATAAATGATAAATGCATAAACATATGTTCATTAGTGATCATTTAACTTACCTAGGTCTCTTCACAAGTGATCAATTTGTCAATTATCAAAAACACTAAAGTGAGAAATGTAAATTCAATATAAAATCCAAAAAACTTGGTTACACCAACAAAAAGAAAGTGACATCTTTTATTGAACTGTAAAAGCAAACAAAATCACCATAGYAGACTCATAATTTACACAAGAGGAAAGTGTTGGACAGTTGTGTCTTTCTGCATTCACTGCAAGCTAAAAACAAACCTATGGATTCAACAAATGAGGCCTTGAAACCCATGATCTAACACAAAGCAGAGCTCTCAACTCCTTCAACCATCATCACCCTTGATTTCCAGTCTTGCTTTGTGCTTCACCTTTGATTTCGATTTGGCTTTGCCTTTTGGTTTCAGATTCGTTTTGGCATTCGGGTTTTGTTGCAGGATTATGGTTAGGCTTCACTATGATGCAGGTGATGTTATCACAGCTTCCACAGTTAAAAACGGTCTCAGTCAACCTTTTAGCTGCTGCCTCTGGTTCGTCTTTAGTCTGTGCAAGTGAGACAACATCCTGATAAAAGAGACCGGCAAAATTTTAGTGTACAACCATGCATCAGCTCATGAATATGGAACTCTTCTTTTTTACTCAACCCAATGAACCTATATTTTACTTCTCTCAGAGTACTCTTAACCTTGTGCAAAATGTATCCCAAGTACCCTGCCTCATCATATATAAAGTCTATTAGCCACATAACATGCCACCACAATTTTTAAAGCAGTTTCACGAGATGCACAGATTGTAAAGTAAATGTGAAAAAAGAACTACACAGAGGCCATCCATACTTTGTATTAGAACATGTGCAACATTAATTAAAAACCACAAGAACAAACTATTTTAAGTCTTGAATGGCCACAAGATATAACAATGGCAAAAAAAGAAAAAAAATATAATCAAATGAAGCCCATCACACAGTTTGATCATTGGCTCCCATCCAAGCAGTTTATTTGCATTTGTGATGTTTGGCTTTCTCTACCTGGATTATCATGTGTTTTTCTAACAACTTAATCTCTATCCTTGGATTGATTAGCAGCATTTTCGTTTAATTTTTTCATATTTTTCAAATGCTAGTGATGATTTTCGAAAGAATACAAGAAAAAGACTAACCTTCTGCGCTATTTCAGCATGTTCAAACATTGTAAATTCATTTGAATTACTAATGTTGATCAGTCGAGTATCCATTCCATCAACCAAATAATCCCATCAACCTTTATCAACCTGTAATTGGATAAACGTCCAAAGAAATGTGATTACTTTTAGAGTTTTGGGTAGGAAAGCAATGAAGCAAGTTATACTCTCAGTGGAAATTGACAAAGATGCCATAATCTATGGAAGGAAAGCAATGAAGCAAGTCTTCATTTGTGAACCATGTTGTCTTCTCCCTATCAAGCAGAAAGATGAATAAGAAAACAAACGTTAAGATGAAAATCAAGAGATTCAAAATAAAAAGTTTTTAAGTGGAGAAAACAAATTAAGGGGTAAGACTCTCAGTCCTTGCCTCATTCTTATAGGGTAACATTTTTTGTCCTTACTATATTCATACGGTAAGGTAATATAACTTGGTAAGCGCTTACCCAAGTAAGCGTTTGGTAAACGGCCCCTAAGTACATAATCAATCAAGATAAAATCACAAGTTAAAATATTTCTGCATAAATGTTAAGCTGAAAATCAAGAGATCCATTATGTAGAGTGTGGTACCCTTCTTAGATAAAGAATGAACTAAAAACAAATGGGCGAAAACTAATATGTGAAAAAGAAAAAGAAAAAAATATGATTTTTAAATTACAAATCATTAAATGACCAAGGAGAATAGTAAGGATGATGTTGTAGACATGTTGGGTGAGTCTCCAAGAACCACAGGAACATGGAAAGAGTTGTTAGCATTATATCATACTGGTATCAGGAATCCTTTCTGATAATCCTTCTAGTTAGGTCGTTAAACATTGGAACTGTTATCCCCTTGGTTGAAAAGTCATTAAGGGGAAAAGAAAGTGGTTTAATGGGGGTTTCTCCAAACCATAATTAATACAACCATATTGTTTCGTATGCTTAGTTTTTTTGTCGGCATTTTATTATAGTGAGTGTAATTCTTTGATATGCAAGCTATGTATTATGTAGTTACATGGTTTTACCAATGCAGTAATAATTTGCTTTTGCTATGTAAGATAAATCTATTGCAGTAATTCGTACATTCACTCTTTCTACCCTCCGCATTTCATCTTCAAGCAAAGATAGTTGTGTAGCAGACGTCTAACGAATGCAATCAACAGGGCTGAAAAGAAACAACTTCTCAGTTAAATCAAGTGCCAAAGATTAAACCATGAAAATGTGAGATACCAAAACATTAACAACTTGTGGGGAAGACTATATCTCATTAGGAGGTAATATGAAAGAAAGAGCTTAAACAATTGGGACTCCATGGCAAAACACCCTGCTCTAGAGGATTTGTACTTTTAAGGCACAAAGTGGTAATCATGGGTAAAATAAAGTCTACATGGTAAAATATAGTGAAAGCATATGTTATCCTATGCATAACTTGTTGTTTACTTGAATATTAAAACATGCGTGTGGGTGTTCTAACTCTAAA